CATCCCTCCCGTACACATTTCAAATAGTAATCAACAAATAAACAAACAAAACACGCAGTGGAATAAACAAAACTGCAACACAACAGTCTGCACTCTTTATAGGTCAGAAAATCAGGGGAATAAAAAGTTTCTCGTGTTTGATGTAGCTGAGGAGCGCTTGATTTACACACCTGAAGTTTGTCACTTCAAGGCAGATGATCTGGAATAAGTTTTCAAATCCAACCAAAATATAAAAACAAATGAATTTAAGTGTTTGTTTTTGTGGAAAGTCTTGACAACGTTTGTATCAGGGCAGTTTAAAAACAGACAAATCAAGCGCTCCTCCTCTTTAAATTTGACACACACCTGAAACTTGACTACTACTTTCTGGTCACGGGGAAACAAGGGTCAAAAGGTGAAAAGGTCCAAAGACGAGGAAGAGAATTCAACGTACCTTTTTTTTTAGGATATAATATCGTGTCTAAAAATCACTCCATTGTAATAAAAAAAGGGTTTGTTTTTTTTTTTTTACTTTTGCATCATTTGAGAAACTGATTTCACAGGTTAAGGGTGATAGAAAATACTTCATACATTGAAAAGCTGCATCCAACATTTTCAGAGTAATGCCTCCTTACAGAGAGAGAGAGAGAGAGAGAGAGAGAGAGAGAGAGAGAGAGAGAGAGAGAGAGAGAGAGAAACAGGAAATAAAGGAGATATAGAAGAAGCAAGGAAAAGGGGGAGGAGTTGAGCAAAAAAAGTGAGAAGATATAAGAGGAAGAGGCGCTAATTTATAGAAAAGAGAGAGGAATGGAGCCAAAAAGAGGAAGAAAAGAGTATAAAAGGGGGAAAGAAGAGAGAGAGACTTGGAGGTAAGGAGTGTACGGAGGATAAAATAAGCCAAATGACAACATAAAAGTTTTCCCATGCATTTTTTTCAGTCCCTGTACGGAAAACAAAAATGAATGAAACACGAGAGACCGAAATAGCCCCCCCGAGTTGTTTTTACTTAAGTTGTTTTCCCTTCCCAATATTTTTACTCCACTCCTTTTTTTTTTATGATAACCCCTCTTCATCCAGTCCTGAGCTCCTCCGATTAGCTGATTACCGTCCAATCAGAGGGGGTTGACAGCCAGCCAATGAGGTTGACGGAAGTTCAATCAAATCCAGAGGGGGTTCGACACTTTTTTCTTTTATTATTATTATTATTATTATTATTATTATTATTATTATTATTTTTTAGGGAACGTAAATCACACACGTTGAGTCCGTTCATCAAACCATTCTTGTCCTGTGGGTCACACTGGGACCATTTTTATAAAGTCTTGAAGTCTTTTAAATGTCCCAAATTGATCCCACATGATGTCCAACCAAGTCGATTCGAGATTCGAGCGCGTTGACGTCAGTCCGCTTTGCTTCGTCGTGACTTCTTCTAGTTTTTCTTTCCTCGCCTTTTTCCTCTGGGAATGATTCCTTTCACTTTTAAATCAGTTTTTCAAAAAACAAACGAGGGATGGGAGACGTCCCGGTGCAGGGAGAGAAAAAGAGGAATGAATGGAGTGAAAGTTTGTCTAAAAAGAAGAAAGAGAATAAAGAGACGACCCCAGTGTGGGGGTGTGTGTGTGTGTGTGTGTGTGTGTGTGTGTGTGTGTCTCGTAGTAGTCTCATTGTTTCATAGCAACGCCAAAAAAGTTTGCGTGTCGCAAAGATAGAATCCCGCCTGGGGAGGTTGTTGCCGTGGTGATCCAAGCCGTGGTTGCTGTGGAAACGGGCTGGTGGAGTTCCAGAGGAGGAAAGGTGGGAAAGGTGGGGGGGGGCGGGGTTTCTGGAGGCGGAGTCTGTCCTTCTTAGAACATCATGGGGTTCTTCAGAAACGCCCGGGATTCTGGGTAAAAAAATAAACACACAGAGGAATCTGTAAATAAACAAAAAGGGGAAAATAAAATGGATATCATCTTTTAAATACGATACAGGATGTTTCTGACATATTCTACAGATACAGACATTGGAACTGGCAGTGGAAGGTGGATATGTTTTATTATGTTAACCTATAATGTCAGTGGGACTATAAACACATACTTTTATTTTGGTAGGAACCACTTGCAGGATAAAAAATGGCGAGACCTCTACTGTCTAGTGAGGCGTCGGGCAGGACGGCGTGACCCACTGCAGGCCGTAGGAATAATTTTCTGGAGTTAATAAATCAATCGTTTGTTTTATAAAATGTCCAAGTTGACATATTTAAAAGATTTTCTTTGCAGTTACAGTTAAAAACCCAAAGATATTCAATTCAGTGTCAGAGAAGCCTACAGATAATAATAATCATCACATTTGTGGAGCTGGAACTGGTGATTTATTTATTTATTCTGCATTTTGGCTTTAAGATTGCAGATTGCAACCAACCCGCCACACCCCCCCGTTTCTAAGCTCAAAGGAGAAACTATGGTGGCTGTGAAACACACAAACAGCCCCATCTAGAGCCAGTGTTACGTATTTGTGGCTCATGCTAAGGCAACAAACACACACAACATGATTATTATATCCCATTTCTGCCAACAGAGCCTCCTAAATGTTTCACACTG